AGCCAGCATGGCTGGCTGGGGAATTCTGGGAGTTGAAATCCACACAACTTAAAGCTGCCAGGGTTGAGAAACAGTGTATTATAGCCTTTAAAAAAAAAAAGTCTCCACACCTTCATACAGGCTGGGTTCACACACATTTAATCAGGTCATTTAAAGACCTCGCGGCTGCTTACATATACCGTGCTAATCTTAGCTAACTTTAATCTGAGTTAGCTTTTACGGTGTCATGGGTTGAGCTCCCCTCGTTTATTATCAAAGGGACTGTGTGGATCCAGCCACTTCCTTCCTCAGTTGCCCTCCATCAATATAGAGCAGCAGCCCCAAATTACCCAACTCTTAACTTCCAAAGCTGCTATTTCTGAGTGTCTGGGGGCTCAATTTACAATCCATGTTTCTCTGTTAGTCGGATTTGGCCCAGGGGCCTCCTGTTGCCAACTACAGACTGTAACATGCTACCTACTATACATTTTTTGTTTACAGTCCCCATAAAGCTGTTGGCAAGCCCAACAGTCAGTTGGCCTTATTTGGAGGGCACCAGTCCACCTCTGAAGTCGGCTTTCCCATTTACACCTTTAGGATTAAACCTTTTTTTCTACAAGGGGTTTCCAGTCTCTCTGGCAGGTCTGGAGGGGGAGCTGCTGCTCCTGCTGCTGCCAAGAGTCCCCCCTTCCTCTGCCTAGTAGAGATGAGGGCACTCCAATCCAGAACCGACACACACTTGGAAAAGAGGGCTCCTGTTGCACTACTTGTGCCAGCTTCTGATTCTAGCAGAGCACCTGGGCAGGAGTAAGCTGCCCCAGACTGAGCCTGACCACACCGACGAGCTGCTCCGCAGTTAGGACTTAACCGTTAGGTGAGCTAAGTTTCCCATCCTGTCTTGCAGATCCAGTTCCCTAAAAGAAGCCACAAGCATCTTCCTTCCTTGCCCAATCGCTGTTTTCAACGGTCCTAGACACCCACCTCTACTCACCACCAGCACCGTTTCTTACCAGTTGAGGTTCTGCTACAAGCCAGGGAAGAGCAAGCAGGAAGAGCACCACAGCAGCAATAGGTTGAGAAAGGGATGTTTGTGGGAACAAAGTGTGCTGGCAGTTCCTTTAGTGTTAGAGAGTGGGTTAAGCTTTAACCGCTAAATCCACAGATTCCCCCTGAATTGACCCTCTAGGAAAACTCGCTGCTGACCAAAGCTGTAGGCGTTCTGGGTTAGAGCCTCAGATAGGGCACATTACCGAGCAGGGGGCAAAACACAGTGGAGCTCCTTTCCTTGGGAATAAACACTGCTCTCTGTTGGACAGAATGGAAATGAGATTGAACAGCATCTATTTAACAGATAGAAATTGATCAGTGACTGGGATAATCTTCCCAATCTGGTGCTCCCCAGGAAGCCAACACCTTGCATTCCAAGCCAGCATTCTCACTTGCTTCTCTTTTTCTTCTCATATGCAGATCCCGGGCTTCATAAACACGAGATGCTCTCCATTTCAGTCTCAAGCTGAAGCCACCGTCTTCCACAAGCTTTGTTGGAAACATTTTTTTTTTTTAAATCCTGTACTGCGGCCTCACTTTCCTTCTTGTTCTAGTCTTATGAATCTCACACAGATGGTGAACCAGGAAAATGAGAGGGATCAGGTTTCGGTTATGGGCCAATGACAGCTTAGGAGATTTCTTATTTGAGACCAGACCCCAAAGACACGAAGAACTCCGTAACAGATCCATCTCAAAGACACCCATTTCAGTATATATAACTCCACACACCGCAAGGCCCCACTTCCCAAATTTAAACTGGAGATTTGGACAGAATGCTAACAAAGTTTGTAAAAAGCTATCGATGGCACTGGTAAATTTCTTTCTGGCCACTGTTATCCAGAAAACAGCACTATGAGGATGAAGTGTTAACCAAGTGGGGATATTTGCATCTTTGAGTTTATTAAAGAATTACAAAGTGCTTAAATAAAATTTCAGACCTGCAGCAAATTTATAGACATGGCTCTCATTCTCTTGGAGGATGGGGGGGGGGGGGGGGGGGG